GATAAGCACAGAGAAAGCCGTTCTATAAGCCAGAGGAATAGGAGCATTTTGGTGGTCCCTGAACCTTTTTGGCATTTTAAATGACAGGGCAGGGACGGTTAGCATTCATCTCTAGAAATATATGCAAAAACACAGACATTTCCCCTAGTTGAATGGTAGCCTCTCCACAGATTATAAGCCAAAAAAAGGACTAAGCTCTAGCAACCTCATAGAAAGGCACTTTTTTTTTTTTGTCATTGTTTCTTAATAAAAATATTCAGCTTCACAGCTATTCAGAAGGCTAACACGGGAAGATTGCTTGGGCCCAGGAGTTTGAGGCCAGCCTGGGGAACATAGCAAGACCTCATCTCCAAAAAAAATAAAAAATAAAAACAACAAAATTCAGCAATGTCAAGAAAGAATATTTCCTTAAATTCTTAGATAACTCACAATTTTTTTTTGTCATTGTTTCTTAATAAAAATATTCAGCTTCACAGCTATTCAGAAGGCTAACATGGGAAGATTGCTTGAGCCCAGGAGTTTGAGGCCAGCCTGGGGAACATAGCAAGACCCCATCTCCAAAAAAAAAAACAAACAAAATTCAGCAATGTCAAGAAAGAATATTTCCTTAAATTCTTAGATAACTCACAAATTCATCTTGTCATTCTTCCCCATCCCAAATCAACATCAAAGCAGCACATCACCCAAAATATAGTTACAATACTAAATTCACTTAGGTATATTAACTAAAATAATCAGAGATGCTCCTCTTCCACAGACACTACGGCGCTTCTTCCCAAGTCTTCCTCTCCAGCAAGATTCAAGCTGTGGACCTCCACTTACCCTGGCGAATTCCATGGGTTTGGGAAGAAGGCACATGACCATGACATCAAAGCGAACATCGCATACTGTCTTCAACCACTTGGTGACAAACTGCGGCTTCAGTTTTTCCACCAAACTTCCAACTTCATCATCCATCATATATGCTGTAGAGTGAAACCACTGAAACACCATGGCCACCAGCCGGGCCAAGCTTTCCGTAGGCGTGTTCTCACTGGGTGTGCAGAGGCTCACCTGGAGGAAGGCAGATGAGACCCTTGTTCAGCCTCCATTCAAAATTATTATATGTGCAGCCCCTACTTAAAAGCGGATTGAGGAGCAGCTGGGAGTGAGGGGACAAGCGGCAGGTCCCAGGAACCACACAGGCCCTTCCTTGCTTTGGATTGCTGCTTCTCTTAGCTCTTCTGACCCCCTCTGCCTCTGAAAAGCTGCTGGGCAGGGGGCGGGGGGCTGGAGGGTGTATTTATAAAACCCCTCCCCCAACAACTTCCCAGGGTTTTCTCGTTGTCTTTTTGCATCAGGACTTTGTATTGGGATATTAAAGAGATTTATTGGGAGAAAAAATTATTATATGTACATTTAAAGGCAAAAAAAAAATGTCCCAGATAATCCATTTGAAACAGGCAGTTTTATAAATGATCACTTATCCAGAAACTGCGTTCCTCTCTACAGGGATGGATGGATTGGAAAAATAATTTTCCCTCAGGATTTTACCTTCCAATAAACATTTTCTTTCATAGGAAATCTATTACATAACCTGCACTAGATAAATGCTTTTCAAAAGTTAGGTCTATGAAATCATATTTCATCAACATCTTCAGTGAAAAATAGTCTGTATATATTTTAGTTCTAAAATGATTATATTTAGCTAAGAATTTTATATCAGTAATAATTCTGACACCTTGGAGCCCCCCAATTCAGTGTTACAAATAGACTTTTTAAAACATCACTCATTCAGAAATAATCTTTTATTGAACACTGTAGCAGGGTCCAAGAATACAAAAAATAAATAAAACACCATCCCTGCCTTCAAGAAATTCAGAGTAGTAGCCATTGTGTCATTAGATAATAAGCTCTAGGAAGCAAGACATGAAAAATTGACAATTAAATTCCAATTTGCTAAAGACTTTTTCAGGAAACTACATGCAACCACAAAAGAGGTACTACAGAGACTTAATACATGTCTCCAATGGGCAAAAACAAAAGGCTTCTTCTCTGCAGAACTGGTAAATGAAGCTTGCTTGGGACTTTAGATCTGTGTGTCTGATCTCTACTGAATGAATGTTTCAGTTGAGTCAGTCAATAGCAATCACATTCCTTGTGTTAGGCTATAATTTCTCTGGTGTACACAGACTTGCCATAAACACACAAAAAGCTCCACAGAGAGTGAACTCTCAAGAAAAACATTTGTTTATGTAGATGATGAGACATGAATTACCCGTAAATTATATTGAATCTAGTATTTGACGACATACACTAGCAATTTTCCTGCGAAAAAGGTGCATTTCAACCATTCTAGGCCCCGGCACTATATGTTTCCACACCTGGCTATTCATGAAAATCAACAACCAGGAGCTTTTTTAAAAAATTCCCAAGATTTTAGGGTGGAATCTGGACATTAACATTTTTTAAAACCTTTCTTAGGCAAATCTAATGTACAGGCCAGGGTGAGAGCTACTGCCCAAGAGGAGAGAGTCCATTGCTAAGGTTAATTTTTCACTATTTATTATTTCATTCCTTTCAAAAGAATAGGAGAAATTCCTCATCAGTGCAATTTTGGAATGAGAAATCAGAAGATGGAGAATAGTTAACTTCTTTTTCTTACTAAGAACCATATTCCAAATTGACTGAGCAGCCTCTGGTCATGTTTATCATCGTCCTTGTTATCAAAGTCAGCGTTATCCAGGGAATGGTGGGAAGAGGAGAGGCCCAGCTGCCGCCGTCGATTCAGCTCATACTCCCGCTGCTCAGCGTGGAACTCGGCTTCCTTCAACAAGCTGCCAAAGAGATATGATGTCCAGTTAGACTACGGACAAACACGTTCTAGATCATGACCTGCAGAGAGCGAGTACTTCATGAGTACTCACGCATCCCGATTACTCTCCTTTAAACTGGTAGGAGTTACTCCAGGAAGCTTAATTCTACTTCCTTACTGTTTTATACTCCATTCCCATTTCAAAGATAAACAAAGTGAGGCACAAAGAGGTTACTTCCTCCAATCAAGTAGAATCAAGCAGAACTGATCCTTCTGACTCCTGGTTCACCAACAACCCCACAATAAGTCAGTGCTGCCCCTATATCTACCATGAAGCTGTGTGAACAGCAAATGTATGATACGAGGAAAGATTGGGGAACTTCTACCCAAATGTCAAAATATTCAATATCTGGTATTCAAGGACATGGAAGTGAAGCAATGACAACTCCTTTTTCAATTTGCTAAACAAGTAACAATTCTAAAAAATACTACTCAATGTTGGCAAGGGGAAGCAAAAACTAGCAACTTTATGCGTTGTTGGCATTGTAAATTCATATACACACTTTGAAAAGAAATTTGGTAATGTATCAAGAATATTAAAATATTCATACCCTTTGAACCAGTTAGCCCACACCTGGTAATCTACTCTAAGAAAATAAAAAATATAGGAACAGCACTATGCACAAAAATATTTACCAAAGAGTTAGTTATAAAAGTAGAAAACTGGAAGCAATATAAATATATAATGATGCGGGAAAATAAATCATACCTAGATGAATATTAAATAGTCACTAAAAATGATAAATATAGAAACTGCACAACATGGAAAAGAGCTAATAGTGTAGTGTTATATTGAAAAACTTGTAGCTACATTGTGATTACAGTTAAATAAATAAAACATGCATATGAATGAAACTAGAATATATGCAAAATTGATGATGATGGTAACAGTATGGGTGATTAGTGGTTTTTTTATTTCCAAACTTCCCATAATGTTTGATATGTTTGATTCAACAAGCATTTATTGCATTTCTACTATGTGTCAACCACTGGGCTAAGAGAAACAGAAAAGACCTGTTTTCTATCCTTTAAAACTTACATTCTAATATTATTTCTTTAATTTAAAAAAATCTTGCCTCAGTGAATACTAAACAAAAAGAGAGCAAGTCTAGAGGTTATCATGTCAGATGCTACTTTCTCTGTCATGTGGTAGAAGGAGAAAAACCCAGCAGCCCACACCATCAGTGCCTGTCTGACTCCACAGGCTCATGGTTTACCCCAGGCCGCATTACCTGGAGTTCACTGCACCTTGTTGGAGGCTGGTAATTCCTTTATGTGGCCTTTTCCCCTTCCTGACTGGCTAATGCTGCTGTCAGTCAAGCCAAGCTTACCCCACCCCTCACTCTGATGGGCTCCTTCACTTCATTTCCCAAAGACACCCTGCTCAATCACTGTGCTCACCAAACTGGACCTCAGTGATGTGCTTATGTTTTTCCAGTCCGGACGTGAGTAACTCGAGGGCAGAAATTGTATTTTATTCCCTTCTAGCTCCCAAGTGCCTAGCACAGTGCCTGGTATATAACTGGCACTAGCAACAATAGTCACTGAATTCATGAATTAAAATAGCATCACTGCAACACTGTAGGAAGGTGAGCTGCTAGGCTGAGGGCATTTGAAGTTGCATTAAATATGCACACTGTGCTAAGGTCTGCTCAAGGTGAAGGTGGCGTTTTCAGGGGAAGCTGCTAACAGACTGCGTGTTACCTGATCACGGCCTCCACGGCGCAGACCAGCTCCTCTGCGCCACATTCCCGCGTGTTGATGGGGGGAGGGGAGGTCTGGTAGAGGTGGGTCTCCGCGGAGGCCCCCACTTCACTACTGTGATGATT